TTTCTTAGCTGTTACCCTTACAGAGTGCTCAGAAAGTTTGTTTTGTGTATGTATGTACTTTGTTGCTAATAAAACAACTGAAAAATAAACAGATTTTTATAAAGATCTTTTCCAGAATTATTAGTTGTTCTCTGGTGTCTAATTTATAACATTTCCACCGGTCCTGAAGTTTTTTTGCCGATAACAGATCCAGTCAAGATCAGCTTCAATTTTAACACAAAATAAATCACAAGTACCCCATTACAAAATGATAATAAATCACTCAGTGGTTGCCATGGCTAGAGGTTTTGAACAATCTAACTGCCAATTGGATGATCTGAGGTGGTCAGAATTGTAGTGGTTCTCCGGTGTGTGTGTGTGTGTGTGGAAATCTCCTTAGACAAAAGATTTTTCATTTATTGAAAGTTTCTTGTGACAAGGGAAAATAGCGGAAGTGCTGTGACGTCACTTCCTTTCCGCGAAGCTGAAAATTTGGCGCCCCGGACGTGTAAATGAAACTGATAGATTCGCTGCGCAGATAATAACAGCGCCTTTACCTGCGCCGCAGGTTTGTGGAATGTCGTTAGGTTAACGGAAAGCTCTGTCAGGTTTTGGAATAATCTGCTGGTCGGGGGGATGCGGAGGCTGTTGTTAGCTGACACAGCTGAGGGGAGCCTCCACCTGACGACGGAATCACTCCACTGGCTGAACGGACACTCCAGACAGTTTGTTCATTAAAACGGACGGCTGTCGAACACTCCCGCAGAAAAAGACTGGCTGCTGCTGCTTAATCACCATGAACAGAACCAAAGTGAAGAAAGCCAAGGTGAGTGGCCGTTGGTGAAGGCGGCTGTTCTCTCCTGAAACTTTTTTTGTTTTAATGGTGTAAAATGCAGCCGTCAGATCCCACAATCCTCAGGCTGTTGTTCGTGATTAGTTTGTCTAAGCCTGAAGTCTTACAGAGTCTGTGCATCGTGCTTATGAAAGAGGCACAGTGGTCAGTAGGGGATCCTGTAGCATACTGGGTTATCTCTGCTTTTTCTCTCGTTTCTGTCAGGTACCTGCAGGATTGCCTGGAGGGCAGCAGAACATCTCAGCATTCTTCTCCAAAAGCCAAAAGGTGACCGTTTCCATCAGGATGTCAACACCTCTTCATTTTTAACTCTTGCCAGTGTTTGCAACCCACATACATGCATATGAACATTTAAAGAGATAGTTTTCACATGTTACAAAGGTCATGGCTGAACTTCAGGAAGTAATAAACTATGTTAGAAGTCCACTTAGAGCTGATAAGATCAGGATCAGTGTTCACCATTTAGGGTGATGTTTTTCAAGAGGTGTAAAATGGTTTTGTGTGAGCAGGAATGTAATTGTTTGCTTTGCTGAAAGGTGGTTTTATAGTTACTACACTAGACCAACTCATCTTTTTCAATTAAATGATGCTTCATTAATCCACAAAGAGAGATAATAATGTGTGTGTGCAGTGTGTGTTATCTTGGTCCCAGCAGAGGTTGGGAAGATATTTGAAAAACTGTTAATGCCAATGGATTATATTTAGTTTGAATATAAATCATGAGCCAATAAATCTTCATTGGAAAAATATATTTTTATCATTTTCTGAAAAAGATTAGATCATTTTGAATTATCAGCAGATTGGCTAAAACTTTAACTTAAAGCACTTTTGTTATTCTTTTACACACATAATGATTGTAAATTGTTTCTTTCTCTAAAGTACTGGTTTGGTTGTGTTGCTTGTAGGAATTTCCTTCTTCCACAAAAGTAGCCATCACTGGCTGCGTACCCAGCAAGACCGAGCCTCCGACCAAAGATGACCAAAGCTCTCTGTTCAGACCCAATTCATCCCCAAAGAGGAGTATCCTCGGGGACCTCGAAAATGTCCTTCCCCTCTCCCCGGATCTTATCCTCTCTGTGCCTGAAACCCCAAACAGTCAGATCAGGTGTGCGTGCTCCTCTTCGTCCAGAGATGCTGGTTGTCAGTGCTCAGAGTCCAGCAGCGACAAAACCTGCCTGGCTAAACTCGGCCAGCTGTCCCCCATCAGTCGCAGTCCCCGCTCAAAAGGTCAGAGGGTGCGAAGAATAATGAACGGGGTGGTGGGTCCTACCAAGAGAGAGGATGGATTGTCTGGCTCATTGAAGAGACTCTTATGTCCACCAGATGAATCCCTCAATGCCAAGAGAGCAAGAGCTGCCAGTTCCTCACCACCAAGAGCTGCCGGCAGCTCCACAGGGAGCGGCCTGAAAGCGGAAGTGCCTCCGGCTATCTCTGTGAGCACACCGCACCTTTTAAATCAACAATCCACTGGTCAGAATGAGAGCGCCGCAGGTCATAGCAGAGACGCAGAAATAGATTTTAGCAGCCGCAGGAGCACAGCGATTTCCCATCGGCCTGTTTCCGCCCTCTCGATGGAGAGACCAGACCAGAGCGACTCTGGTTTTACCGCTTTAACGGAGACCAAAGCAGCTGAGGTGAAAGCCAAACATCTGGATGAATACACATGCACTGTTGCTCTCCATCAACCTAAAGCCAGTGCACAAAATGTCCCACCTGCTCTGGAGGAAACCACAAGAGCGCTAATGAAAGCTGGAGAAAGAGCCCTGAAGACATCAGAGCAGCAGCAAGCTGGAGGTACAGACACATCCTGCCGTGGGTTCTTAGATAATTACTGTGGTCTAAATATTTCTAAATTAACATTGAATAGTGCAGCTTTCATCTAATTAAATTGTTTAAAAAAATTATTTCACACAACCGTCTTTGTGGATAAGATATATTACTTCTGAGATGTCTTAAAGGAAATGGGCTGGTGTACATTATGATGGATCATATTGTGTCACTAAAGGGTTTCAAATCTCTGCTTGTTTTCTTCTTAAATTGTCTTTTTGTCTGTCTCAAAAAAAGATACAGAAACGGCATCCATGTGTCCCATGGAAGATGGGTTGGATGAAAGCTGGTTTACAGAGCAGATGGACAGTTATGGAGGCACAGAGGATAAATCCAAAAGGAACCGGTAAGAAACACTCAAAACACAGAGACCCTGATGAATAACTGGTCCATATTTTTTTACAAAGTCTTGACACTGACGAATCTGAGGCTTTGCTCGTTGGATAAAAAAAAACTGTGTTCCTGTGCTTATAGCAAGGTACCAGATCACGTGATCCTTTCCAGTGGCCCAAACAACCGTTACTGGGTTGTAGACATTGAGGAGAGACCCAACTGCAAGACTCTGACCATCTCATGTTCCAGATCTCTACATCCAACTGAGACATGCCTGCTCACCGATGGATGGTAATGCTGTCTGAACATGTTGAGATACAGTAAATGTGACTTTTTTTTTTAAACGTAGAATAAGTAATAAATACTATACAACTTATCCTTTTGTTCTTAAGAACTAATTAATACAGAATATGTAATATCACAGTATGGAGTGATTTTATTGTGGCTTGTTTGCGTTCCTTTGTTTTCTTTTTGGACTGGTGGTATCATACTTCTACTGATGATGTATTAATTCATTAAATAGTCATGTATGTTTGCCTCAAATGGGTTGTCCCCGGGTGTATTCAGGGAGATGACGCCTGTTTGTCACGGGGATGTTGTGCACCTGGAGGGTCTCTGTGATGCTGGGACCTGGTTAGTGAACAGGGAGCGGGGCTTCCTGGTTTTACTTCCCGACAGCCTCATCTCAGGTACCAGCATCTCCAACTCCATCCGCTGCATGAGACGCGCGGTACTGGGAGATATGTTCAAGGTAAAAGCTAATTTCCCATAAATGGGACTTTCTGTTGTCGCTGATTAGTGTCAGCAATGTTTTCCTATTTGGTTTAACTAGAAGTGGTCAGAAAGTTTACCTATACTATTCCTTTTCTGTGATACACATACAATCGGATTGAAATAAACTTCATAGCTTGATATTGGTGCTTCAGATGACGTTAAGTTAGTCACTGGTTGGTTTTATATGAAGAGTACACATTGTAATAACACAGTGCTTTGCTCTTTGGTTGTAGAGTTTTGATGGTGGCTCAAAGCAGATGCTCAATGGTACTATGGTCCATGAAGTCTTCCAGAGAGCAGCTACAGCTAAGGATTTTTCTTTGGGGAATCTATCCAAGCTGGCCGACGAGGCACTTCGCAGCCCTCGTTACCTGGGAGACATGTAGGTGGTTGGGTTATATAGTAGGAGTTACACAGGAATGACAGAAAAACTATCTAAATTCAACTCTATTCAGTTTTTTATTTTTTTAGTTTTGCATTCCAATTCATCGTAATACAAGAGATCGTGAATTTGGATTTCACTGTGTTTTCACTCTGAATTCACTAGGTGTTTCCTTCTGTTTTTGATCTGTGTGTCCACAGGTATGCTCTGGGTGTAAGTCAGGAGGAGATGAAGCAGGAACTGCTTGATTACCTCCCATCTTTGGAAAACTGGGCAAAAGAATACCTCAGTTCTTCAGCACCAAAAGCCATCAGCCTCAAAGCGTACGTACAAACTAAAAAAGGATGCCATTTGATGTGAAAATTGTTCAAAATGGGTCGTGCCAACTTTCAACAAAGCTGATGGTTCCTCTGTCTCCATTGGCTCCAGTCCCAGTAACAGCAGAGCTCCGGGCAGGCGTCAGGACTCGCCCGCTGTCGTCACCGTCACTGAGCTGGCTGATATTGAGGAGAATGTCTGGTCCCCCAGATTTGGCCTCAAAGGCAAAATAGATGTGACGGCACGGGTTCGAATCCAAAGGCCGGGCGGCAGCACGCACAGAATGTCAGAGGATAAAACTCTCCCCTTGGAGCTGAAAACTGGAAGGGAGTCGAACTCGATAGAGCACCGCAGTCAGGTTGGTGGACTGCAAGTGTGGAGCCATGTGAAGAGGCAATTTTAATGAGGTCAGGATGTTTTTCTCCTTGTAGGTGATCCTGTATACCCTGATGAGCATGGAAAGATATAATCCTGAAGCTGGCCTGCTGCTTTACCTCAAGACTGGCAGCATGCACCCCGTGGCAGCCAGTCACATGGACCGCAGAGGTACAGAGAAAACACATTTGAAGATAAAGAATCTCACTAAAGAAGTGTCTACCTGACCATTCACACTCCCGATGAACTGCTCTGTGTTTTTTTTCAGAGCTGCTGAAGCTGAGGAACACTTTGGTTCATCACATTCACAACTACGTGGTGAAAGGGGCAGACCAGAGCCACCTCTCCAGGCTCCCAGACATTCTGACAGACAGACAGACCTGCCGGTATTGTCCACAGAGGTTGAACTGTGCTTTATACGAGAGGTAAACCTTGTTAGAATTGTTTTAAGATCTGATGCTCTGAAATTCTTCGCCAACGGATTATTCTTTCTCTGTCCGCTGCTTGTCATCACATCTGCAATGTGTGTGTGGTTCAGGGTGGTGGATTCCAGCTGTGCAGACACCGTTGAGGATGTTGTCCGTGAATTTTTACAACAAGAGACTGGCCACCTGACTCTGCTGCATATGAGGTATTTCTCCCACTGGCTGCTGCTCTGTGGCCTGGAGACGTCCACCATGGAGGCGAAGAACGGGCGGAAGCGCGTGTGGCTTCAGTCTGCTGAGGAGAGGTGTGATGCTCGGCTCCAAGCCATTTTCTCCCCTTTTTGTAATTCCTGTCACTAGAAAGTATGAAAAAGCTCACTAAAACTTTTGTTTTAAGCGAGAAAAACGGAAGCTGTGCGGGGAACCTGCAGCTCAGCGGGCCCGTGACGGTGCAGGCTGAGGGAGTCTTCCTGCATCGTTTCCAGCGCGGCAGCCTCACCTCTCAGCAGAGTTTGACCGACTGTGGGCTGACCAGCGGGGATCGCATCGCCCTGAGTGATCAGGAGGGCCGCCTTGTTGGTATGGCAACGGGATACATTTGCGAGGTCAGCAGAGCATTAATCAGCTGCACTTTGGACAGGTGAGAACAGATTCAAATGGTTCTGCAGCTGGAGGGTTTTAGCAAGGTGGCAGTGACGTTTTGTTGTTTGACCTGTTAACAGGGACCTGTCAAAGTTCAGGGACGTGTTGTTTCGGCTGGACAGCGATGAAGGGGTGGTGGGCCTCAGCACTCACCTCACCAACCTCTCCAGACTGATGGAAAACTGCCAGGACAGGTGGCAACAGTGATAATGCGAGTGGTTGTTAAACAGGCTGATATGAAATAAAGATGTTTAATGTGACTTAAACTGGACTTTTTGCAGTGAGCGTCTGAGGGAGTTGGTTGTTGATCGTCGTCCCCCAGATTTCATCTCTAACCTCAGCTCCGTTCTGCCCAGAGAAGCCAAGGAAACGGTGGCTAACATCCTCAAAGGTGAAGCTGAACATTTGCATGTCTTCTGCCCAAAATCCTGATAATGATTTATTATATGAGTTTACAACCATGCACAGAGGAGACTAATGCTAACACTCTTTTAGCTAAAATGAGCCCTGAGCCTGCTCTGGTTCCACTCTGATGATCGTACACACGTTTGGTTCATACATGGGTCTTTGAGGATCTAATACACATACCAGGAAATTTTGTTCATCCAGTAAGTTGGTGTGCGCATCTGTACGTTTGTGTAGGTCTGAACAAACCCCAGAAACAAGCCATGAAGAAGGTGTTGTTATCAAAAGACTACACACTGATTGTTGGCATGCCTGGCACCGGGAAAACCACAACCATCTGCACCCTGGTAATCCTCAAACAATGCTCCACCATAATAAATTAAAAGTATCTTCTACCTGATGGTCAGCTCTGCTCTATTAACATTATTTTCGCTTATCCTTACAGGTTCGCATACTGCACGCTTGTGGATTTAGCGTTTTACTGACCAGTTACACTCACTCTGCTGTTGACAACATCCTTCTGAAGCTGAAACGCTTCAGGGTTGGCTTTCTGCGTCTGGGGAAGGGTCAGAAGGTATGCCAGAGCTGTCCTAACTGAAGAAACCCAAAGTATATGCTCCATTTCTACACTTTTTCTTCTGAACTTACCAGGTCCATCCGGATATCCTGCCATACACGGAGGAAAGTGTGAGGAAGAAGGGGATTCACACGCTGTCAGAGCTGGAACAGCTATATAGCAAAGAAGTGAGTAATATTATCACATTAAGATTAAGAGCACTGTAATTAGCACTGCGTTTTTTTGGGGGGGGGGGTTTGTGCCTTTTTCTATAAACAAAATCTGTCACTAGCTGGTGGTAGGGACCACCTGTATGGGCATCAAGCATCCCATCTTCACACGCCGGCGGTTTGACTTCTGCATCGTGGATGAGGCATCACAGATCAGCCAGCCGATCTGCCTGGGACCTCTCTTCTACGCCAAGAGATTTGTGCTGGTTGGAGATCATCAACAGCTGCCACCAATAGTACAAAACCAGGAAGCAAGGTCAACACTGTCCCAATGAGGATTTCAAAATCAGGGAAAGATAAAACCTTGTTAAAAACTTTTTTTGAGGAGTCAGATTTGGGATATAGCTTTTGTGTCTTACAGGTCTCTCGGGATGGATGAAAGTCTGTTTAAACGACTGGAGCTCAACGCTGAGGCTGTGGTGCAACTTAATGTACAATATCGAATGAACAGGTGAGTTTTCACGGATAACAAGAGAAGCTGAAGTCCCTCAGCCTGTTGGTTTAGATTACAACTATCGACTGGAACAACGTGAATCATCTTATTTGTTCACTTTAACTCAATAAATAAAAAAATTAATGGGTATGATCTTTATCATGCTCTTAAGTGTGCATGAGCTGAATTCTGTTATGACTACTGAATGAGCAGGAGGCGGAAATAAGGGCACACATGATGAGTTGTGCTCGATTCATTCCCTTGTGTTTAGGCAGATCATGTCTCTGAGTAACTCTCTGATGTATGACGGCCGGCTGGAGTGTGGATCGGAGAAGACAGCAACAGCTCTGCTCGCGCTCCCCTTTCTGCCCTCTGTCCAGTCACAGCTCAGTTCCGACTCTCGGGCTCATCCAAAGCTCGATCTGTCCTGGGTCCACACCACCCTGCTGCCCAGCAACCCTGTCTGCTTCCTCGACTGCTCGATGGTTGGTGAAAGATTCTCCCGTCCATGTGCAATCTGGCCTTAAATGTTGACAATCTGAGACTGTTCCCATATAACTGGATTTGTGTTGTCTTAAAGGTGCCTGCGTTGGAGTCGGTGGAGCAGGGGGGAGTGAGCAATCGCACCGAGGCTGCTCTCATACACATGCTGCTGTCACTTTTGATAAAGGTTCTTCAGCCTACAAATAGCAGTTTAATGACGGACAACACGTGGTTGGAAAAATTTGTGAACAATTAGAATACCAGTGTGGTAACTGTTGGGTATGAACTTGTGGCTGTTTTCAGGCGGGGGTTAGGCCCAGTGACGTGGGTGTCATCGCACCATACAGGCAGCAGCTGAAGACCATCTCGGCTGCGCTGCAGTCGGCTGCTTTCACTGGGGTGGAGGTGAACACCGTGGACAGATACCAAGGACGAGACAAAAGCTTGATTGTCCTGTCGTTTGTCAGGAGCACCACAGAGGAAGGAAATGTAAGTCCAAAGCCCTCCCCTCCTTTTTTTAATGTCTGTTTCCTTCATGAGCAAATGAGGGAGAACCTGACCTGATTTTCTCCTGTCCACCAATTTAAAGCTGGGGGAGCTGTTGAAGGACTGGCGCCGCCTGAATGTGGCCATTACCAGGGCTAAACACAAGCTGCTGATGGTGGGTTCTGCCACCACGCTGCGACGGTACTCTCCACTGGAAAAACTACTGAACTACCTCCAGCAGGAGAACATGATATCCTTCAGAAAGCTTCCAACTTTTCTCAATTTTTAGTTCAAATAATGCATTTGAATTAAGCATTTTATTGAATATTCTTCTTTTTTCTGGGTGATAACTTTTATTTTTCCTGAACTTGTTCTTCACATCATCAAGCTTCCACCTGCTGCCCACAAGGCCTTACCCAGCATGCACCTGTGACAGAGGTCTGAGTTTAGGACGGTGTTTCAGGTCACCTGTCCCAGTGGCTGCAGATCAAATCATTTCAAACTACAGAATTGAGATGCTGGTAACTGACATATCCTTTGGGTAAAACTTGAGATAACTTCATATAAATCTATCTGCTGCATTCAAATTGAACTTTTGTTTTTTTCCTGGATGTTTTTTTCCCTTTGAAAGCAGACGTGCTGAAATTCCACATAATTTAACATAACACAACTTTAAACCTCTAAACCTTCAGACCTCCCAGCTTGTCTCTGTTCAGATATGTTTCAACAAATGCCTCTGGTGAGAGATGTCATACTTTAGATGTGATTGTTGGTACCGTCATTGAGCATTGTTTCAAAGCACACGTGTTCTGTGAATATTTAAGCAAAGGAAAACTGTCTTTATTCAGCTGCAACAGTCAGATAAGCTCCTGAAACATCTTTGAAAACTCAAACAGAACCAAAAAGCTACATATCCATTCCCAGAATCATTTGTCAGTTTCTTGAAAAAACTTGAAAAAGTTTTATTTTAACAGGCTTATGCTGTTAAAATAAACAACCATCATTTGTTAGATAAGCTAAACGAAGGGTTCATTTTATTAAAGACTGACGCCTGCCTTTGTGAGCCAGCTGTGCAGAAACTACAGCAGTACAGGGGAAACAGTAGTCATGTTTGAGCAAAAAAACAGTTTGGGACCGACATATTTCTCTGGATTCTGATGTATAAACTGTGATTTTTGTAGTGTAATGTGAATAAATAATGCTGATCTAAAGTTTAAGGTCTGCATTGATTATGTCTTGTGTTGGTTAGCTGCGTGTTGTCGTTTTATCGGGTTGACCAGTATGTGCTTTTTAATTAAAACCACATTTTCATGGGCTTTGACAGATACCCAGCACCTTAATCCCTCTTTAGTGTCAACTTGTGACTATAGTCTGATTACTCCCTGCATTACAGAGGTGACCTCGCCAGCTATGTTGATTCTCCCATCATCTCTCACTTCCAGCTCCAGCTCCCCTCCTCTGCTGGAGCACTGGTACGCTACACAAACACAAGATGATCTCAGTGTGAATATAGGACTGGTGGTAGGTGACACCTGATAGTCATTGCATGATGTTTAAAAGTTTTATTAAAATTGCATGGAATTAATCAGCAGCAGTTCAGTTTTGGAACCGTTAGAATTACCTACCCAGCATTTTCTTTTTTCCTAGTTTTTGAGACCAGTAACTACCGAGGACGGTGTGAGAGGATCCTGCAATGAAAAACATTTTATAGACCCGCAAGGCAGACGCTGCATCACCTGTAGTTTTTTAAATATCTTTAAATGTGTGGAGTGGCACTGAAGCAGTGTGAAGCAAAGACTAGCCAGGTGATGGTCGAACAAAGCTTTAAAGGCTGCTGTGACGGTGACCATCTCACCTGTAACAGGATCTTCTGGGATCCCAGCCCATGGAGCAAAGTATCTAGAGTAGAAATCATATCCTGGCTGACAGTCTGGTGACCCTATAATCAAATGGGGGGGGGGGGGGGGGAGAATGTTTAGGTTAGCTCCAGGTTGTAACTGCCATCCTGAGTAAGTCCCACCATGTCTCCTTATATATTTGTGGGCTATACTTGGAAGATGATTGTAACAGATGCTTATTTAAAGTGTTGGTTGCTAAACAAAAATGGGAAAGTTTAAACACTACACTTGCTTGACTGCAAGTCATAAAACTGCCCTTCAGACTCTGGTTAGGATCCAATGAGCAGCCCTGGTTACCTTTAATGGTGATGATTAGTCCTTTGACTCGTCCACTTGTCTCACTGTTCAGCAACGCGTAAGGGTCAACTTTGAGCTTGGAAAGCACTGCCCTGGAAAAGATACACATGTTGGACAAATTTATTTCAGGCTTCTCTTCTTTTTTTATTTTTAGGAGAAGATCTACAAAGCGGGACTCAAAAGTGTTGTTTCTGCCTGGTTTTGTTGGAGTATTTGACCTCCAACATGAGCTCACGCTGAAGTGTACTAGAACCTGTCACAGCTGTCCGGCAGTCGAATCATCAGCTTCTTGGTGTCAGAGTTTAACAAGACATCCTGAACTGGGTGGTCTCCTACTGCCACCTGTAATATCCATGTAAGGAAACCGTTAAACACCAGATGTAATCATTCTGGGGCAACATTCTTGAGCAGTTGAACTCTTAACCTGCGTAAAAATATTATTACTGACCTTGATAATGTCTCTGAAGTCATTGGGATCCTGAGATTGTAAAAATGGATTTTAATGGATAGCATTTTGATGGTAAAGACATTTGAGCATTTTCAGACAACTCGTTTAAAAAATGTTGCCGTGGTTTACGCTAAATGTTACATCTCCGGTACTACAGCCAGTGCTGAATGGTATAAGTGTTGGATGACTGAGTTAATAAATGTAGTGAATTATTAAGTGTTTGATACATCAACATGCTTCAGGCAGACAGTTGAAACAGATGGTACATGTTGGCTGGAGCTCTGTGCTTCTCTACTACCTCGTGAGCGGGTGGATTGAGAGGAAAGTCCATTACATATCCGTCGCTCTTCTGGGTAACCGTCAGATCTCCGCTCCTCGTCTCAAACACCAGAGTTGGATTTATGTTCTCTGAGTAAGCATAAACGGAGTACATGGCGTTGACTGAAAATGTTTCAAACCAAATGCCCGATCCCCTGTTTGTGTCTTTTAAATTGTTTCGATGACTGAAATAGACCATCATTTGTCTTACCCTGAAAGCGGAACAGCACTGCCGCCGAGGCCAGAGTGGCGTGACCGCACAGATTCACTTCGGTTGCTGGCGTAAACCATCGGAGGCGAAACCTAGATCCTGAAAATGACATCATGTTTTCTGATGTCATCGTTACCATACAGAATTTTTTTTGTCTGGAATCTACACGGTACCAAGCTTAGATCCACCACATCTTCAAACACAATAACCTTAAACAGCCTTAATAGTGGGAAAAAAACACAACTGCATAGTTCCACCCCACTTCAGTCAGTATTTGATGCCAATTCTAATTCAGATCATCAGATGGACATCCAGTTACCTACACTATCCAAAAGTTAAGGTGTCTTAAATTCAGCATTTGGGGTTTTGATACTACTTTGAAATTCATTTCTAAATATTCTGTATGATCACAGAAGGCACTTTAGCTTTAATATAGATTAATTTTATTGCCTCAGAAGTCTGAAAGACTAATCAACTCCACTGTTACTCAACAGTGTCCACATCCTTTGGTCTGTGTTATCATGACCCAGTTTCACACAGACATCTCAGCTGTTAAGACAGAGATTTAAACTAATGTTGAAAGGGAGTTTTTTTGTGAATTTGAAATTCTAACTCAACACATTTCTGTTGTATTTCTGTTGTGAAACAGATTAATGTGATGAAGAAGTGACTGAAATAAACACAGCTACCGGTCCTGAAAGTATCAGAAGAGTTGATCCTTGTGATGAAGGCAGTTTCTGACAGGTTCATCTCTGCTGCTATTTTCTGATATAAATCATCATTCAGCTCCTGAAAAAAAACACACATAATGACACACTATGCACAGACCTGAGTTTGTTGTTGTTTTGATCATAAATTGCACGTGCATAATGGTTCCTCGGGCTGCTTAGATTATAATTTGCATTCTGGTTTGATCATGGGGTGCTTTTAATTCTTTAACCCTTCCCAAAAGAAAATAACGGTGGCGTCGAAAAAAGACTACACGTTGAAAAAGAAGCATGAGACTACCGTGACGCGGCGAGACGTGCAAACCTAACCGGCCATGGTTTTTAATTTGGGGAAAACGCTCAAACTGCACAAAAATCTTTTTCGTATAGTTTTGCAGAGAGCTTTTATATAGGTAAACAATATTTGTTTCCAAGTTTAACAAAGTAATCTGCTACCTATTCGTGAAATAAAACCCATTTAAAAAACGTTATCAAATTGTGGGCCCCAAATCGGTGTAACACATTGACCACACAGTGACCCAATTATTGTTACTCACATGCAGAAGTGGACATACAGCAGCTGGATTTCCTTTGAATGCCAGATTAGTGAATGAATCGACGGTAAATACTGGGATCTCCATTTTTATGTCAGGATTGAAAATTAAACAAAAGTGGGCTCAAGTTTTAAATGTTTTGTTGTTGCTGCTGCAGCTTATCTGCGGTTGCGGTGGACTTCAAACCCAGACTGGGCTTATCCACGTGTCCTGAGCGTCTCCTCCTCCCCAGAGCCGCACACACTCCTGCACTAAAGCTTCATTTCTACACGCTGTGTGAAGCTGCAGTGTCCTCTCTGGGTAAAACAAAATAGAATGAAAATATACCATGAGTAACAAGATTAAAAGGAGCTGCAAAAAACTTTTATTAGATGTAAGCAACACAGTAACTTCAGTATAGCTGCTTGTCTTTACAATGTGGAAAGATAATGGTTCAGCACTTGGAGAGCACAGACCCTTCTCCATAAAGAAAAAATTAACAAACCTCCTACTACTTGGGTCCTTCTCAAGATGATCAAAGGAATAAATAGTTTGAACTGCTACCTTCTTTTCATCAATTTTGGTTCTGTTCCTAATCCAAGATGATTATCTGTAACTGATATATGTAACCCGTCACACCCACATGAGTGTTTAGTATGTGCATATTTATCCTAAATATTTCGAATGCACTAAATTGCTTTTGATAATTCAGCTAAAAAAATCGACTCGGAATATCATCCTAAAATACGAAATCTTCTCCAGGCCGTGAAGTTTTCCTTATGATGTCAAACTCTCGCGACAACATACCTGAGCGTGTTTTCGGTGAATGGTCACCTGAGGTTTGGACAAGAGCAGGAGAAAACCGGGGACAGGAGCTGCATGTAAGATCATTTACACGTTTTTTGATTCTTTTCAGCGACAGTTTGTATGCTTCTATATAGGGATACATACTCAAAGATCACGAGCATTACATGTTAACTATTTTGGTTTTTTTCATTTGACCGCTGTCACCGTCCTACACTTAGCTTTAGCTGCTTGTATGCTGCGCTATAAAGCTAGCATTTCACGTCAGTTTGACTGAGGGGAAAAACACGTTAGCATAGATGCTAACCAACGTCATTTGTTGTTAGATACCAAAATACCATGCCTTTCAAACACGCATTAGTCTTACGAAAGAGTTTTAAAACTATATATGTTCAGAGAATGTGCCTGTCGACACTTGGCTACACAGTTGGGACGTGGAAGTTTTGAATGTTAGCTTGACTGATTTCCTTTAACTCAAAGAATACTGCAGTACCAATATTAAGCTAGTCATAAATATACCATTAGTTGGTTTTACTATTAAATGTTAGGTGCTACAAAACCGTTGGGTTATTGATCAAGCTTTGAACTAAAATCAAATTGTGTGTCTGTCTGTTAAGCCTGAAAACATCTACTATTCATAGATGAAAAACAAGCGTAGCAATAACACAGTATGCTTTATCACCATCTTTAAACGTGAACAAATATATATATTGAACAGAAAACACAGACAGCAAAATGTAATAAACTAAGCATTGTTCCTTTTAATTTTAGTTTGCCCTGTGCAGATAGACCTAAAAACTATTCATTGAGCTACTGGCTTGAATAGCTTGGGTCCAATATGGTGGACCCCTCACCAACTAGTGCTTGTACTGTGACGGGGTTCTGGAATCAATGCCTTTTGGAAAATGGTGTGTTAAGGTTATAGGCCTATTTGTGCTTATGCAAAAAACACTAATGCTTTTTTTGTTGGTTGTGTTCTCTGTGGCAGTGAGAATGTCTATGAATGAAGAGGGTTATGTGGTGCGGATCAGAGGACTTCCCTGGTCGTGCACACAGGAGCAGGTGGCCAGTTTCTTTTCTGGTGAGAGCACACACTTGTTTTTTTTTTTTACACCTGGAGTATCCAATTAATTAAAAGTGATGGATAATAATGTTTTGTTGTAGCTCTCATTTGATTTTGTTACTCTCTTCAAAATTCCAGCAGAATTCTTTTCAACAGAACCATCTCCTACTCCAAACACATAGTAATACTTTGATCAGTAAGCAAATGTAATGGCTGATGTCATTTAAAAGGAGTTCAAACAATCTCTTTGGCAGACTGTGACATTGTTGGAGAAGTAAGTGGAGTGTGTTTCACCTACTCAAAAGAAGGCCGCCCCAGTGGTGAAGCATTTATTGAGCTGAAAACAGCAGAAGATTTCAAGAACGCTCTTGCCAAGGACCGTAAATACATGGGGCACAGATACATAGAGGGTAGGGGGTCTTTTGCTTTTTTGGTTAAAATTGACATGATTTCTGTTTATTCATAAATAAGTTTCTTACAATATTTTGCAATCATTTAATCCGTATCCTGTAGGTTTTTTTTGTAACTGATGTTGTTTTTCATGCTGTGTTTTTAATAGACTGATATTTGTGCTTCTGTTCCCGTGTGTGGCTCAGTGTTCAAGTCGAACCGTAGTGAGATGGACTGGGTGCTGAAGCGTAGTGGTCCTGCTGACTACGACAGCTGCAGCGGCTGCATGCTGAGATTAAGAGGGCTTCCTTTTGGCTGCAGCAAGGAGGAGATCGTCCAGTTCTTCTCAGGTACATGGACACTGTAGAATTCATTCGGTTGAATTGTAGCACTTTTGTTAGAGTAGAAGTAGTTTTTGCAGACTTCTGTTTTGTGGAACAGTGCTGCAGGGCTATCACGCCTAATTAGACATAGTCATTCAAAGAAACCTTACCATGTAAAGAGTGTGAAAACTACCAGTCACTTCCTGGTGGGTTTTTGTTAGAGGCCAACACAACTCTGAATCACAGAACTATCTCAGTCAGCCTTGATTAATATCGTATGAACTAAATTAAAGTCGAGTCTGGGTCAGATGGCGCTTAAAGCCTTTCCGTAAAGGTTTCTGCCTCATTGTTGGAACTCTATTTTTCTGCAAAGGCACTTAAAGATACCATATCATGAAATGTGTTGTGGATTATATAATAAAAAAGCTCAAACATAACCAACTGCACTTTTAGCGGTGCTTTCCATTTTATAAGCGGTGACACAAATTATTAACTTGAATTCATGTTCTGTGTATCGTATGGAACGAACAGTTATTTGCTATTGTTAATTTTTAGTGTTCTTACTGAACTTGTCACCTTCCAGAAATATTAGTTTGATTATAACCTGTTGAGCCGTTATTTAGCAGGCTCATGTAACTTGAATAAAATGCCTCATGGAAGGTACTGGCAGGATGAGCTGGGCTGGTTTGGCTTAGAAGTACAAAGTCCCCACAAAACTGATCTGGAGTTGGTGTTGTTAACAGGCTAACCAACAGATTTGATGGAGGATTGTATTAACTGAAAAATCAATATAGACATTTTTTTAACTCAACACAAATAAAAAACTGAACAGATATTAAGTAACAGCTGTTGGAGAGTTCAAATTAAATGTACTGCATTGTTGTTTAAATGCTTACTCAGGTCAGTGCTTGCTCTTTGTCACTGCTAGGTCCAGTTTCCTAGACAACCTTCATTCTAACAAACCCTTAATGACACTATTGTATATATGCTGTCATGACCCATATTTTTCCTGAAAACTCCACTGATGCATTGGGTGTTGTTCTATCTATTCTATCAGAATACCTACCGACCTATGTATTTGTGTGCTTGGGTTGAAGGGTTGAGAATCGTGCCAAATGGGATTACTCTGCCAGTGGACTACCAGGGGAGGAGCACAGGGGAAGCCTTCGTGCAGTTTGCCTCAAAGGAGATAGCAGAAAAGGCTCTGGGGAAACACAAGGAAAGAATAGGGCACAGGTGGGACAGATGGGAGAGGGACGGGCGGGGCTGGGTTGGCTTCCATGTAGTATTAAAAGGGATATTGTATTAGAATCATTTTAGTATTGATGATATGGGTTCTCTTCTGGTTAAATGAAAATGATGGGTTGGAATACCTGAACATACAATTTAAAAAAGGCTATTTAATGGGTGGGTAATGTAATGCCTGATCAGGATTTAATGGGGATGAAAGGAAATGTGTTTGATCTTTAAGTATGAAGTTGGTGGGACAGTTCAATGACACATTGTTTTGTGGGCGTTTTAAAGACAAGAGTGGGGAAGAGATTAAATCTAGAATTGTAGCCGTCTCTAACATCGAAGCATCCCTGCTATGCTATATAGGAAACGCAGTCAAAGTATTTCCCCAACGGCTTGTTAGGGAGTCGCTTCACTGTAAGTAGCTGTGGTGAGGTTGGTGTAGAAATCCTTCAGCACAGCCCTAAGCCCAGCTAAAGATGAGACTTTTCTGAGGTTCATTCATTTGTAGTGCTATGTACTAGTTATCTTCTTGCTGTGACTAGAAAAGAGCTATTTCTACAACTTAATTCTCTCCTTTATTCCCTTCAACCCCTCGGGCTGCTCATGCTGCAGGTACATAGAGCTCTTTAAGAGCAGTCGGAATGAGATCAGAGCATACTATGAGCTTCCCCGAAGGGGAATGGGGGCGCAGAGACCGGGACCCTATGATAGACCCATGATGTCAGGCCCAAGGGGAGGATTCTTTGGACCCGGGCCTGGCCGTTGTGGACCTATGATGGATAATATGAGGAGTGGTGGTGGTGGTTATGGAGGAGGTATGCACTTCATTTAAGCAAATCTGTTTATCGGTCTTTGTGTTATATTGATGTTTTTTTGTATAGTTTTTGATGAAGCTGCTTGAATTTGATTTTTTCTCTTTCTGTGCATGAGCTGTCTTTGATTCTTCTGGTTGAACTTCAGCTTCAGGCTTCAGGTGGGAAGTTTTAACCTGATTTTGCTCTGCCTTCAGGGTACAGTGGCTTTGACGGCTACAATGGACTCAGCAACTACTGTTTTGGCAATGGAATGTTTGATGAGCGAATGAGAGGAGACAGGGGTGGAAGAGGTAAAATCAAACTTTATTTACAATCCGAGTTTTATCCATTAGCTTACACTACCGTTTATAACAGCTACTGAGAGAATAGATGGTTTTTAGTGGTTTTTAAATTGCAATTAACTTTTCAATTCTGTCACATGTATTATTTGTATGAACCTATAGATCCACTTTTTGATTTTATTTTTATCACCGCGGTTTTGTTGAATGTCATTAAGTGAATAGTTTATTTTGTTTTCTTCAGGAATGGGAAACCACGTTTATGGTGGACAGTGTGATGGGGGTTCAGGTTTTCATAGTGGGCATTTTGTCCACATGAGGGGTTTACCTTTCCGGGCCACAGAGGGAGACGTTGCTAAAGTAAGAACACACACAGTTGTTTTGAGAATGTTTCTGTAGCATGCTCAACAACATGGCCCCCTGTGTAGGAGACCCATGTCTCTTCCTTTGGAGGAATAATAGTTTTAATATGACTTGGATATGATGAAGCAAGACATCAAATTCCAGGAAATACCCGTTGGTGTTAAACATCCATGGCCCCTCGCCATACCTGTGACCTAACCCTTGATAAGTGGAAGATGGATAGATACATGAATTAATGAATGAATGAATGAATAAATGGGTAGGGGGGAAAAGGCATATCCGATTTTGAAAAAGTGATTGATGTATTTAGATGAGCCTGTTAACTTTGATGTTTAATGTCCTTGTTTTCTTATCTTGTGTAGTTTTTCGCTCCTTTGACTCCGATGGGAGTGCACATTGACGTGGCGCCTAACGGGAAGTCGACTGGAGAGGCAGACGTAGAGTTTCGTTCTCATGAAGACGCAGTGGCAGCTATGTCCAAAGACAAAAATCACATGCGTACGTTTGTAAATGTTCTTTTCTTTACCTGTTTCCACTTCTTTTTCTGCTACAGCTCATAGTAGCCAAAGACTTACAGCATTTAGAACACTTATTATAAGCTTCAATCATAATCCAGATGATGGTGAAGATGGTTTCTACTGTATAAAATATGTTTTTCTTTCTCCACAGAGCACCGTTACATTGAGCTGTTCTTGAACTCCACAGCCAGTGGGGCCGCTGAAATGAGTGAGTTCATTCAGCCAATCAGAAGTCCATCATGTCACATCTCCCCGTGAAAGTGACCCTAAGAAATCCTTCATTCTTTCAGGTCGTGGCGGGTGTGGTTACTATGGTAACTCAGGAGGCGGATGCTCACGGGGCAGCAGCATGCGAGGTTCATACTGATGTTGCCCAGGTCCTCCAGTTTGTTCTGGCTTCTTTTTGGGCCACATTTATTGATTAGCAATTCTAAGCAGGAAAGCTGACGGAAGACTATTGCTGTTTCTTTGTTACCTGATTGAAGTTCAACAGGATCAAATATACATTACCGAACAGGTCCAAATTTAGCAGCATTGTTTTATACTACAACAAAAAAAAAAGATATTTTAGCGGCAAAGTACTTAGGAATGTCCATTTTCATCAGTGGTCCTATTGAGAGACATTTGACTGGTACTAACATATCAATCTCACTTTAAACATATACTTTTGCCTAAATTCATGGCTGTCATGATTGTTTAAAAAAAAAAAGTGGACTTGTCTATCACGGTGCTGTGACTTCAGGACCAATTGTGGTCTCTGACTATTTCCTGACAACAGACAGAGGATATATTGTTCAAATAATTAACCCTTCCTCTTCTACAGAATAGGTTTTTTTTAAGTGTATTACAACCCTCTTTTCTAGTTGTAACATTTTTGTTTAGAAGAGCATTCTGAAGAAAATTCAGATCAGCTTTCCTGGTGTGAAAGCTTTTTTAAATGTGGGCCAGTGTGTTGTTTTTTTATGAATGTTTTCACAGTTCATTACAGAATTTAAAACTTAAGTTGCATATAATTTTCCACTTGTAATGAGTGGGAGTAAAATAAAATCTCTATATTTGAGCTGTAAGATAGCATATGCAGCCATTGTACATTTTGCCTAATAAATTTTATATTTAATTATCTTTTTTCTCTCTGATTGATGTTATTCATGAGAAGCTGACTGACACTGTGACTATAAATTAAGCTTTAATACTGGGTGGGATTTTATTTGCAAACAGAAATAAAAATAAGATTAATTTTTATGTATGATTAAACATGCTGTCAGATGAAGTAAACAGTCAAGACAGACTTTGGCCAGAGGATTTAATATTAAACATGTTTTTAGTAAGGTAAAGCTTTACCATTATGTACAATGTGTAGTAATATCAAGACTGTACAAATCCCACTGAAATCTGGGAGATTCACAAGATTAAAAAAAAAAGGTTCAGATCAGAAACAGTTACTTTAAATAAAAATGCATTTTGAAATAAGAAAACTACACAGAAAGAAAAGTTCCAGTTTTTCACAGTTGCAGGTTGTCAAAGTAAGTGCAAAACCAGAGTGTTCACTGCAGCCTGTGCTGGAACAACAATCAAGGCTGTGACAGATTGACAAAACTAACAAAACGCCTGGAGTTCAGGAAGAAAGAGTTCAGTTTGAAGCTTTCGCTAATGGATGGAGCAGCAGTAGAGGAATATTCTGTAGCATCTGACTTTCAAGTTAACAGGTTCAGCTTCATGTACAGCACGTTCCTGAACCTGTAAAAGTACATGTAAAATAAAATGTGCATGGGACATCAAAATCAAATACAGATACACATTTATTTAGAATTGACAGAATGTGATTATAAAAGTGTTCCAAATATTGTAAAGTTGTCAGAAGTGTGTGGTGCTTCAGTCTGTTCGTAACAGTTGCTGTCAGCATCATCACCAAAACCTCCAGGATTATTGCTGTCTGGCTTTGTTGGTCAGGACTGATTGACTAGTGTTGTAACTTTTCTAATGTTCGTATTTTGTTTTGTCATGCAGGACTGCCAGTTTAGATTCTCTACAGAAGTCCTCTCGGTAAAACGATGGGACTTTATTTGGCAGCGGGGAGCACTCATTACAGAGGCTCGCATGGCACTAACTAAAGAACGAAGCTGCTTTTCAGGTCTTCTAAAAGCCTCAGCCACATGGGGAAGCTGTCCACTCTTAAAGTTTGTCAGCAGGTGTCAAAACGCTCTGAAATGAGGGACTGATTTCACACACTAGCTGTGCACAGAGCAGGCTTCCTTCAAGCCCCTTGTCCATCTAGAAAAGAAAAACCAGAGTTGGGACACTCATTGTCAAAGTGAATGTTTGGCTGGATAATAAATATCTTAGTGTACAGAACACTTCTTCTCTCTCAGGCAGCTCATGAAATATTATCACACCCATCCTTTTACTCAGGTCAATCCTGCCAGCATCACCTTAGAAATTGTCCAACACATTGGCAAATAAAGGAATATTAATGGTCATCATTTAGGGCAGACAGAGTCAGTATTTAAGTGTTGTGTCTGCTCACTTTGACCCGATTTGGCTATACGTGTGTAAACAGAGTCAAACTCTTAATAGAAAGAAGGCAACTCATTGTGCAAACAACATACGCTCCTGTGGTTGTCTGTGCAGTTAGTTGCGTGCCTCAGGTGTTGTGGGGGTGAGGTAAGATCCGATCTGGATCAGAAACCAGTGTGCGTTTAATAGTGCAATCTATCTTTCAACCTCTTTGTAAAGTTTTTCCTTCATTCACAACCAAGTTTTTCTTATTAGAGACTCAAATCATTAGCCAGAGATGGCTGTTTAAGTCAAATGCATCAGAAACTGCACTGCCAGGTCTTTTCTTTATATAGAATTGGGTTTAACTGTATGTGTAGGACAAGCATGACTTAATACCAAGTTGTCATTCTGAATCGTTTTCCTGTTAACAAAATGATCTGATCAAAGAGGACGTTTAACACTCCCTAAGGAGTGACTGCGGAAAATTGCAAAGCAAGAATGATTCAGGTGCCACTTTTGAATCTGTTTTTCCAAAGATCACGTGTACCGTACACTTGTGTGCTTGGTCCACCCTCACAGCAGAGAGTGGGGATCAAGGAGTCTGTTTTTAAACTGCTGTGGCAGTGCTAGGGTGGGGTGGGGTTCCTCTCTCATGTCGGGTTGGAGGAACATCGCTGGAGGAGGAGGGCGTGGCAGGTGTCGCAGACCCGGACCGGTTTGGGAGAGGCTGGCAGAGGTAGCTCATTATCAGAGCAGCTGTTGCAGAAGATCTCCCCGCAGTTCCTGCAGTGGTGCTGCGGACACACAGGAGGAGCTTTCACACATTTCCTCGGAGAAGTCTATGACTCCCACGACTCTGGGTACCCGATTAACAGACTCATTTACTGTGCTTTCTGTAGTTTTTTTTTTTTTTTTAAAGCCTGACCCCAGAAAATGTGATTATGTTTTTTAAGAATGCTGAGGACTGACCTTTCGTCTGGAGATGGAAAACTCTTTCTCACACAACTTGCAGTGAGTGGCCTCTTTGTCTTTCAACCATACCTGACCCCCCTGAAACAGAACAAGAACATTCCTCTGATTTCTTTTTACTGGCAACAATACACCAAAACAAGATTGGATCTTTTTTTTTGAGCATCTGCTACTTTACCTGCAGTGCTTTGTTGGCTTCTTTAATGTCCTCAATCTTCAATTTAGATCTGATGATTAAAAAATATAAATCAGAAAAGTCAGCTTCTCGGGAACCAATGATAAAAGCATTCATTTTAAACTGGGTAGCAGATTGTTTAGAGCAGGGTGTCGCCATACTCGCTGAGTTTGGAGCCTAGTTCCTCCAGAGCTCGTTCTTGGTCCTCACAGATGCTCTTCAGCTGAACGTTCTCATCCTGAAGACGATGAAACTCCTGGAAAAACCGACGAACGGTACGAGACCAAAAGCACATCATGCAGGCGATAAGTCACACGGTCAAACGAAATCTCTGGGTCTGGACGAGCGCTGTAGGCTTCTCTCATCTGACCTTTTTCAGTCCGTTGATCTGCAGCGCCTCTGTGCTGAGCTGAGCCACCGTGTCCCTCTCCCTGTCCAGGTCGCTCTGTAGCGTCTGTCTCCACTCCCTCTCGATCTTCAGGTCCGTCTCCAGCTGCTGGCTAAAATCCCGGACAAGTACGCAAACAGGTACACAAATGTAGAGAGAAAACACACAATGTTACCACCAACAGGTTTTTCTATGCGTGTTTTGTTGTTGTTTTTTTGCTTGATTTCAGGTTAAAGGCAGGAAAAGTTAACTGTTTTTTGAGCATTAGAATAAACCATCAAAGCAGACAGTGTATTTACATACAATGGCAGCAGGCTCACCCATGCTAAACCATTTCTCTAGGTTAAAATCCACAGCCGGTGTGTGTGTTTTTCTACATTCAGTCTGTGTTTGTTGGCTTTTGGCTTACAGCTGCTTCTCTTTGTGTTCAATCTGCCGCTGCAGGCTGTCGGCCTTGTTGGCGAAGTCCAGCTTGAAGCGTCTGGTTCCCTCCTCGGCCGAGGTGCGGTGCCTCTCTGCCTCCTGTAATCTGCACCATTATAACCAGGGACAAACTCAGGACCGTGGAGACAAAAAAAAACCAAAACAGGAGGTGGATGAAAACAACAGAGGATGGGCAGAGGAGTAAGGAGGGAGGCTGAAGACGAGGATTGTGATCATCCAAACAAAGAGGATGTAATGCAACACCAGGACATAAAAGGGGTAGAAAACATAAAGAAATATGAAGTGATGACGTCTCATAAATAAACATGCAATGAGGGAAAAGCAACAGTAGGGACAGAAAGCGTGATGAATAACTAACCAAAAGTAACTCCTGAGATAGACAGCATCCAAAGTCTCTGCTGCTGACACGGCAGTGGTACACTGCACAGGGCGGGGACTCCATTACACGGCTTGACGTTGCCGTGTTACTTCTTAAACATCTCACGATAAATGATCAACCAGGTGACCGAGGCCAAAAACTCCAAACACAACAGGCACGTTCAAAACATTTAACTTTATTTAGCACTGTGGTAAAAGACAATAGTTGAGTTTTCTTAAGTATTTTTGTGTCTATTTCTCTACAAATTCAGAGATTATTAACTTGGAGTTAGAATAAGTAGAGCGATTATCACCGAATATATGAGACAAAAGAAAAGCACAACAGCAGAGTCTCCTTTATGAGCATTTACACTTCTGGAACTAGTCTGTTCTGCTCACACTAAATATCAGAATAAGAAATTGGGCTTCTGTAATTCACCTGTGGCAAACACTCCCTTTAATTTTCCATTACAGGTGGATTTTTAAATCGGATATACAAAGAGCAGGAGGTGAGGTTTATCCACAACCACTCCCTTTTTAAAGTCACAGAGCACCACGCATTTGTATCCAAACCGTTGATGAGAAATGAGTTATCTGCACACAACACCACGCCATTTAATCGCAACACCAGTGAACTAGGAGTTGTCTGTGTCAGCTGATCACGACTATTACAGGGGTCAAGCGGTTCACGTGGGACTTATATCGGACACGTCCGAGGATGCCACAGCGGGTCTAAAGCAGGTCAGGATGTGCGAGAGGCAGCAGCAGATAGACAGGTTGTTTTGTGTGCAGCGGGGCTGTGGCCGGGGACGGTCTGCGGTGGAATGCAGGCGGCAGCAGAAACGCACCAATAAGGCTTTCGTAACTGGTCGACTTTTACAGCTGAGCAGTTTTGAGCAGAGGACAGCAAAGCAATGAGGTCGTTTTTCATCCGTCTTTTCATACAGATGGACCGGTGGGCAAAGCCTTTTTTTTTTGTTTTTGTTTTTTGTGTGGTGAAACAAAAGACTTTTAGCGCTAATGTCATCAGTGCAGATGTCAGTGTCCTACAGGAGCTAGCACCTTCACTCAAAAGCAGGAGGAAAAAAAAAGTTTAAACCTACTGGAACTCTGCTGGTGGTACTTAATACCACCGATGACAAAAACCCTACATTACATCTCAGAGTCCAAACCACGGTACTGCATATCAACCGACAGCTGGTGTGTGCGTAGCAAGTATAAAGTAGAGTTACAGCTCTTAAATGACTTCACGCACAACATTCAGAGTTACACGCAGCTGCTTGTGAATTTAAATGACTAAAACTGTCACAATATCGTCTGAATGTTATTTAATCAAAAACTATCAAATGCTCTGCAAAAAAGAAAAGAAAGAAAAATTGTGTGCAAAATAACCAGAAAGTCCGATCAGTTACAGAGGCGTGCTCGTCCTCAGAAGGAGATATCTTTGACTAGCTTGTACTGGTGCTCTGTGTCTGTGCTGGCACACTTCACAAATGACATAGCAAGGGTTCTGGTCTGACTGAGCAGATCCTTATCGCTGCACAGAGAGCAGGGATCAAACCAGAGGGAAGGGGGGATAAATAGATCATTAAATAAACATGGAGGTTTCAGGAGGGCAGAATGGATGTATGGACAGACAAATGGTATAAAAGGGATAAACAGAACGGGGGAAAGCAGGAAAGAAAGGAAGGAAGAAAGGATGTCATTACGTCAGCATTCTAAGAGGCCCTGGTTACTCTAAACATTTATTCATGATTTAACAAAAAGCAGAGCAGGAAGTGTTAATAAGACACTTAAACACAGAAATCTTATTTCAGGCTGCCAGGTTCATCCGGTAATTAGATTTCCACACTCTTGACATATTTCCTTTCATAGAGCGCGTGAACAATGAGAGGAGTATGGAAGGAGGAGGGAAAGGTAATGTGGAAGACAGCTGAATAGAGCTACATCTGACTCCTGCATTTTATCCACAGAAAAGACTCCCACCTGGACGGCATACAATAAAAACATGTTGCTTTCTGAGAAGCTGTTAAATGCGCCTTTAACACCATCATTAGCTAGGGCACAAAAGTCCCTCTGAAAGTGTAACCCGGATCTGTGTCCTGCCGCGCCAGCCTTCGTTAACCTTTGAAGCAGCACAAAAACAGTCAAAACCAATCACAAATCAGACGGGACAGATTCAAACCAATGGGGGAGGAGAGGAGAGGAGAGGGGCGGGCTGTGGTGACTGGGAGACGATGGAACAAGGAGGAATCATGATGCATGAGAGAACCAGCAGGCAGCTACATGACACATGTGGAGCGCTCGGTTTTAATGGGCATGAAGATATCTGCAGCTTATCCAGCAAAACGTAATAAATGAAGTCTTAGTCTAAGATTCCACTTGGGGGACTGATCTGTGTGGTAATTATTTCATTTATCACGCCTGGAGTGAGAGTGACTGCAGCTGGCAGTTCAGAATTCAGTCTGACTTTTTCTATGAGGCGTATAACCCATAATTATGTAGGAAGAATTGTTTTGTATTGACAGGGATTCGCACCTAGTGACGCATTTCTTTAGCTGAAACTAAAATGCCGACAGACGTAAAAGCGCTAGAAAATGTGTCCCTCTGTTCTTTGTAATTTTGCAATTGAAGCTGTCACCACTCCATATTTTCAATCTGAGCTACCCCAAAAGAACATTTAAAAAGTTCGATATAAACGTAAGCCTCTCCCATGTGTCAGACGCAACAAAGATGGTTGCCTGATGGGGAAAAGCATTCCCAGAGTGGGACTGTCTCTGTACTTTCCCACATCAGGCGGCCAGTCAAGCTGCATACATCCTGGTTTGAAAAATCACTTGTGAAACAGGCTTTCGTTTGCTAAAGAAGCATTGAGCTGCTGCACAGCTGCTAAAGACAGCTCCATGTTCCATGGAGGCGCATGGAAAGGCGATCTGATTAGTGGGTGTGATGTGCCCTTTCAAGCCGAGTACAGTTATCTCACCTCTGCTCCAGCTGCTTCATGGTGGCAGTGATCTGATTGGTCTTCTCCTCCAGACGACTGATCATGTCATTCTTCTTCTTCATTTCATCATCCGATGACTAAAAAAAACGAAAGGACAGCTGGCTTTAATAAGCAGCAAGTACTGAGGACACTTTTACTGCATTTCCTTTGCGTTTAGTGGAGTAATTACTTGAGAATTTCGCACCTGCATCTTCTGGTACATCTCTACATTGATGGCTTTAACTTCATCCAGCTGTTGCCTAAGTCCGATAAGAGTGTCCTGTTTATTGAAAACAGAAGTCTTAAAAGTGTTCTGAAATGCACAAAACAACACAAATTCTGTCACTTTAATGAAGCTACTATTTTCCAGAAGTGCTACTCCCTGACTTGAGACGATTTAAGGAAAATGAAACCAAGATGTGGCTTATGAATCTAACAGCCGGGCTCTAGCTGGGCTGGCAACTCTGCCTCACAGCTCACACATTGGTGCTGAGAGGCCAGAAAAACAGCCACATGCATCTCATCAACAGTCTCAGCATTAAAAATACCTACAGGCCTTGGATCCGTTAAACATGGAATCCTCCATTGACAAAAACGTGGGAAGGAAATAAAAAAGTGCTCACCTGTTTTTCGTGAATATCTTTTTCCAGAAGCTTCATAGCCAGCTCCATTTCCTGCTTCATGGACACCTGGACGACCAGCTCATTCTCCACATCCTGACAAATGGACAGCATTGGTGTGTTTAGTCTGTTATTCAACCTAAGCTGTGTCCGTTCTGCCCACAGACCCACAGGCTGACCTGTCTGAGCTGACACTCCTCTTTCAGCTGTCTCTGAGCCTCATTGTACATCTCATCCAAACCCTGCCGTGACTGTTTGTACGTGTCTCTCTCCACTGACGCGTCGCCTTGAGTTATCTGCATCCACAGTCCAGGGTTAAAAAAAAAAAAAAGACCGTATGCGTATCGCCGTATGTGGGACTGTGTACCTCTAAGTGTTGTTGTGTCTTTAGCAGGATCAGGCTGTTTTCACTCCTCAGCTGCTGGTTTTCCTCCTGCAGTTTGATGATGTTGTTCTTGGCAATGGCTAACTGCAGACAGAGATGTGCACATGTCAACAGAGATGCCATCATTAAGCTGGTGGCCAATGTGACTTCTGAAGATTGAGCTCTGATATATCAGATCATGGGTCTCACCTCTTCTATAAGTTTGGAGTTGGACCTCTCTAAAGAGTCAACTCTCCCCTGTAGACCACTAACTGTGGAGCTAAAAACAAAAACACAGAACATATTGACATCTCTTCAGAGGGTTTTGAAAAATTATTTTTTAGTTTGCGTTACCCTGACTTAAGATGTTATACTTTCACTCAACTTTGAAATGTAAAACACATTTTAAAATGTTAAAAATCATACTTTAGCTGTCGGTTCAGTTCCTCCACGTAGTTCTTCTGATCCAAAATGGATGCAATCTGGCTATTTCTGTTGCCATGGAAACAAACACAAAACAAGAGCTGTGTATCACATGTCACCCAAGTTGGCAGCTGCGTAACAATCGTGGGGCCACGAGGACACACCGTACCTCTCCTCACTCCTGTAATCGTCTATGTCATTCTTCAAGTACATGGAGAAGTCGATCACTCCAACCTCAAATGAAAAGAAAGGAACAGGAAAACCTTATTAAAAATGACAAATTCCATACTGTGAAAGAAAAAAAATGGCACAGAAGTCAGTGATGTTAACTTGACATTTGTAGTGACTACGGATGCATCTGTGTGATTGCTTTTTTGCAAAAATAACACACTCGGCTAAATAAAAACACAAAGTTTAATGCTAACCAGCACAATAAGTGCCTGAATGCAGACTCACGTTGTGAGTTCTGAGACCACAGTACCAGTCACTCTTTTAGACACTTTTTTCCATCCAGCCTTTAACTGGAAGTGTAGTGTGAAACCGTTTAAGGGAAATAACCAAAACAAAAAATCAACCTCTGGAGTGTTTTTGGTCCGTTTACCTGAGAGTCCAGGTCCTCGCCTTTAACACACAGATTAGCATCGATCACATTCAGGCCCACCAGCAGGCCCACGATCACCGCTCCCTCCTCCTCCAGCATCAGGGCCGAATTCTCATAAAAATCGCTGAGGAGGAGAAACCTTTATTTGGCACGCCGTTTCTCTGCTACCCCTCACAAAGGCTTGCTGTCAGACTAGAGCAAGCGCATGGTGGTGTGTTCTCTGGTGTGTACCTGAGCAGGTCTTTTCGCGTGATGAGGAGTCGCAGGTAGTCGGCCAGCCGTTTCTGCATGAGAGCCAAACGCAGCCATGCTCTGGCTCTGCCTAGAGGAGTCCTGGGGGGGGCACACATGCACATCAGTGAGGGGTTTTAGGCTGCTTATGTGGTAACCTGCTTAAAAAGGATTTCCTTCTGCCTGTTCCTGATTTCTTTAACACTGTATCTGAACTGAAAACGCATAACCTCGCTTTACTCTGTGTTGGATTTGGATTCGATGTCACTACTTGCAAGGCTTGGTTTGGAACTGCTGGAGCATTAAGTGTTGTATCTCCAGTTTCGGGCCTGTGCTGCTTTGCCTCACTTCTGTGGGTCTGACTCAGCACCAGCAGAGGAAACCGAGTGTGCTTTTCGTCTGAAACAGCACAAATGTTCCTCATTTTATTGGAACAGACATGACATGCAAAAAGGTTTCCAGCTCAATTCTCTTCAAGGATGTTCATTATCCGCACGTGGAACTTTAAATATAAAACTGTGCTTTTATTTTCTACAGAAAATGTCTCTAAATTTTAGTTTCTACAATCCACATGACCCTGGGGGCAGATAAAATACCAGACAGTTAGGCAACCATACTTATCTAAAGCTACATATTTCCTAAAACTGCCAGTATGACTCAGATTCTGACATCTACCTGCTTGTTACATTAAGTGTCACTACTAAAAAGAAACAGAAACTGCGACAGGGAGAAGTGAAACAGCGGACTGGAGAAAGCTGAAGTGAAAGTAACCTACACTCAGGTACTTCCCTGACATGGATCGGGTCACGGTCTCATGTTTCTCCCATTTGTGAGTGTGTGAAGTTGTGGCTCATGTTCCTACATCAGTAGGACTCTGGAGTGAATGATAGTGTGAAAACAGTGTTATCACTCACTTGAGACCAGGCAGGTCTCGCACGGACGCCGAGATCTCGGCTGCCTCTGGACACAGTTTCTCCACCAGCTCCAGAGGTCCCCACAGAGACTTGTTAAATCCCAAGAAGGACTTTTTCACTGGAGGGAGAAGAGAGAGAGACTTCTCAAACAGATGCAACCACATGAAAGTCGGACATTTTGATTAAGAAGAAATGTTTTACAACACAAGATTTTAGAGTTTGAAATGAAAAGGGCCTGTATCCCTTACCTCTGAGGCCGTGTTTGAGGCAGTGTTCCATGACCACAAAGAACTGCTGGAGAGGTGGGTAGTCCGAGTCCAGAGTTCGTCCGAAGCTCAGAGCTGACTCAATGAGCCCCTTAATACTCAGCTTGGCCATGTTCAGCAGGTTGGCTCGCTCCATGGTCATGGGGTCCCGCAGCGCTGCAGAGGACAGACCCAAAACTCTTCACAACTGAAAAAATACTGAGTCAATCACAGCTAGTTATGCCAACTTTAAAAATATATATATATATTATTAGGATTAACTTTGAGAAAGTGACTGTTCCTACAAGCTTCTATAGACTCCATTGGATTGCTTATCTTATCTTGCCATCAGGTCTTACAAACTGTCACTGTGGAGAAACTGGGTCAGCCAGGTTAATGTCTTACAAGTTGTCCTCATAAGAAACATACCGAAAAGCTTTACAGGTGGAATGTGCTGGAAAAACAATATGAAAAATCTGGATTTGTTTAACATTGTGTTACATTCTTCCCAAAGACAGCATGAAAAACACTGCGAGCAGAAGAGAACAGTGTCTGCAATAAATCTGTGTGAAATATTTAGTCACAATACTCTGTCAGTCGTTCCCTCTTTAATGACTCTGAGAACTGAACACTGAAATAAATATGCCCACACAGAAAAATACAATCCAACAGGTATGTTTTAGCAACTTTACACATGGAACTCTGGGTTAACGTGTAGCCAAACACCAGAACAGGAGGGAGCAGGGACGGGGGGGAATGCTCTTTAGCTCAAGTTCTATTAACTGCATTGATCAGCGTGGGATTTTTACAAGAGTGGATCAATCATGTGTAAATATCCTTACGATTGAACCTAAATGGGAGACCAAAACAAGAAAGTTTATAAAGATTAGAAAGTTGCCCTTGAAGTTGAGTGCTGCAAATCATTGTGTGCGTTAAAACTGGCAGATTCTGGGGTTTCAGAAGATAATAGCAATCCATTTTAATTGATTAGAACAATTCAGCTGCAAGTCAGTGATAAGCACATGACATGAAATGTGATTATTCATACATGAGTGTGTTAGTGTGTGGGGGAGATGACTTGCTCGACACAGATGAGAGGCAGATCCTGGCTGCTGGGCTGACAGTGGAGCTCTCGCTTTCAGCGACTGTTGCTGACTTTACGGTCTGATCACAAGAATGCCACCAGGGAACAAAAGCATGACGACCCCAGGGGTAACTTATTTCCAGTTTTCAGCAGGGCAGCATGTGATGCTGGAGGCCATTCAACAGTATCTGCGCAACTGGGAGGGCGTACCAGCAAATTATGAGTGCAGACAGATGTATGAAAATCAATCGCTCAGTGAGGGTGGAAAATAGAAACAGCAGGAGAGAGAAGATTCGTCACACCAGGGTAGACCATATTTCATGAATTTCACTTCATATCTTCTAACTGTAGCAAAACAAAGCCTCTGCATGTGTGAATGACCTTTTTTTTTTTACCAACATCCATATCCTTAAAGCCTTGCATCACTCCATGCTGATACTCTACCTTGGACGGTCCAGTCCCCTGGGAGAGATGTCCTGTGTTCCGACACTTTGGGCAGGACATGAATGCTCCCTGAAATAGTCTCGGACGCTTTCCTGGCCAAAGCGAAGATAGGAGCCTGCCATCGCCCGTCTCCTCCACCTGCTCCTCTCGCTGCACAGCTACTGCCACTGTTAGCCTTATCGCCAATCTTCTCCTCTTGTAGCCTCAAAATCCCAAAAACCTGAGATTTTTCCTTGCTGCTGTCCGCTTCAGACAGAGACAAGTCGTGTTCAGCCGTCGATGCCATGTTCAAGTTTATCTGTAATTGTCGAAACTAGCTCAGCTTTGCAGCTCGACGCGAGATGAGCTAAATTCATACAATTTGCTATCCGTTGTGTACAATTCACCGGGCGACCATCATGCCATCTGCAGCGTGAAAATAGGATACCCTGAACACCACCGGCTATAGGATGAAAGGTCTAACCAGCGTCAAAAAACCAGCAGTCCTCGCGCTCCCGGACAGCCAAACCTGAACCTGGCGTCAGTCTCGCGCCATGACGATCAGTAACGCGAACGGCGACCGCACAGAAAACTGCTTTCCACTAAATGTGCCTTTTCCGTGCATCACGGTGGTGTACAGATTTGTTTACAGCCAGCAAACCCAACCGACAGTTGGCGTCTCTACGGTCCCGCTGCACCCTCCGGAGGGGCGGTGTCAGAAGGCCCACAACAGACACACACACACAAAAGCCAGCGCTACGTAATGATTTTGGGACTGCAGTTTTCGGGACCTGCTGCCCCCTAGTGCTGCACACGGGAACTACAGGGATGCCTGCATATGGCTGCAAACAAATTCAAACTTCAGGAAAAACAAACAAACATCAGAATTCTTAATCTGACGTTACATTAAACATCGTTAACGTTACTCGCCTCTTTTTGTGGACAGTTATAAAAGTCTTTAAGCAGTTGTTAGTAAACTATTACTAGGCTTATGTGACAGTGCAGTGATGCATGGGTGGACTTCTGAGACGGTTGTGTGAATATTTATGGTTTAAGAACATGAGGAAACAACACAATACCAGGCTGCAGTAGTTGTTATCATCACACAGTGTGTCATTGTAATATGAGCTTCCATCATACCTTGGCTGTAGGCTAACTGCTCCATGCTCTCACTGTGAGTGATGCCCCAGCGATGGAGACTCTGAGGAGAGTACATGGTGGATGAGATTCTTGATGAGTTGCACCCTTGCTGCAAAGACAGTTAGGAGTCCCTGAGTATCAAAGTGGTCCACACTGGAATGGCAAATGTTCAGATGTTACAGAGTCAAGTTTAGTTTTTCTCGTCTGGTATCCCAGATTAACCTTCCCCACTGCACTGTAGTGAATTATGACAGTATGTTGCAGTGGGGTCAGATTTGATCAACGACCTCGTGTGCACTAGGGAAGTATGCCTCCCTGAAACATAACAGGGATCTTGGTGTAGAGATTAAAGCTTCACAGCCAGCACACTACTCAGCAGAAGTAGCCGAAACTAATTTGGCTTGCTGAGTAAGAATAATCTTAAGTGAAAGTAAGAAGATATCTCCATGTCTACATGATTCAGAGCCACACAAGTTATTAACCAAGCCAGACTTAACATTATGATAATTTTGACACTTTTAACCATCATACCAGAGACACACTGCTTCCTTACCCTGCCCATAAAACAACCCCTCCCCCATTCCCCTGTCCCTTACTATCATGCATATAGGTCTCATCACAAATATTATGACAAATTTTATTCAAGGACGTAAACAGAATGGGTACACTCACCTGAAAAAGGTTGGCAGGTTTTTAACATTTTTTCCTTGCATGATGAAGACTGTATTTAGACTTTCAGCTCACAAGATATAGCTGTTAAAGCATCCAAAACCAACTAAAGAAAATATGTGGATGCATTGTGGCTGTATTAGCCTGCGGCAAACCACGTAACTAAGCCCACTGCTTTTCTTCCTGTTTTGTGGATTTCTGTTCCCTCCCACTCTAATCACTTAGGACTGACTGGGAATCATATGACCAAGTCACTGCAGCTCTAGGACTGCCTGACTGTTAGTATGCACTGTCTTTGTAAAAACAAATTTCCTTAAAAAATCTACATATCATCTTGAGACCAAATATATCAGACTTTTTTATATTCATCTTGATTAAATAAAAAATAACGTAGCCATCCGGCATCTATTATACACAATCACAATCAATCTTTTCAAGAGCTTTAGCTTTAGTCTCACTGCAGCATATCACTTAAAAGAATATGAAGGATCGATACAATCAGTTTAAAGCTGCAACACGTTGGCAGCTCCCCTCCTCTCCCCTCTCTCCATCCATCTTTGTTGGCCAGTCTCCTCTCATCCCTGAACCACACCTCAATATTCTCACTACTACACACCACTCTCTGGCAGTGTGTCTTCTACCTTATGACATTCTCAATCACTTTAGGAAAAGGCCCTTCCTACACAACAGACAGGTGAATCAGCCAATCAATATGCTCCACTAGAAGCTCTTTCCACCAATCATACTGTGATGCTGTTTCATGGTAGTTTGCAGGTTTTATGTGTGCAGCCATGCTGCAGTTGGAGTGCTGATTTTTCACAGATCGATGACACTCAGTTAATATCAGTATTGTTAAAATGGTGTGCATAAAATAAGTTAAATGGCACGTATCATACACTTTGTACTTTTACCAGTCAATAAAGAAAGTATGACAGAATCATCACAGTATTTGTAGTTTTTAGAGAACTGTACACAGCTAATCACTATTCCTACTGTGCCATAAATATTAAACATGAGATTGTAGAATTACTCCATCTCACCTCAGCATGAAGAAGAAGCTTAGTGTTGATTCAGAGTTATTCCGCTTGTCTGCAATCTGTAGGCTCCTCTTCTACTCCGAACTTCAGGTAGTGAGTCAGTATAAACTGAATAAGACAAGCTTGATGTACATCACAGCTTTAGTGCCTCTGTCAGATGTAGCAGTAGTGGACAGCAATCGGCATCTCCAGGGTGTCCCATGAAACACAACCCAACGATGGTAAACAGAAACGGATGCAGGGTGTCTGGGCTGAGTTACTGCAAGGCTGCAGCGTTGGTATGAATATCTGCAGTTAAGAGGTGGCAAGCCGGTTCATTCTCTGGGGATATCACCGACAGAAACCACAACCATCACCCCACACAGCACCCAATGGCAAACAAGCAGGGAGGATGGGAGAAAGGGAGGGGGTTGGGAGTACGTACAGCATAGACAGGATATGGTAGAGAGAGGAGGAGGCTTGAAGGGGCATAAATAAGCACAATAAGCATGGGAGAGGTGACAGGAGATAACAGAAAGAAAGGCAACATACAGCAGCAAGAGAACAGAGAAAGAGGATGGATTTACCTGCACACATGCAAAGACACAAGTCATCGGTGCATATGAATGAAATGCATAAAGCCATGAATGAACACATCCTGTTTGTTACCATCCAATCAGGAGCAGCATGCAGAGGGAGGGCCTTGGTGAAGCAGTGAAGTGATTGGATTGGATTGGAGCTAAAGGAATTAAACTGAATGACTGCAGTTGGAAAAACACCAAGAGGAAAGCATAAGGCAGAGTGCTTTCTTTCATCAGAAAGACAATAGAGATCTGTTTTGACATCATCAGGATCAACCGACTCTTTAAGTCAGTACGTTATGCTGATCTCAAGTCAAAATCAGCATAATTTGAACTATAAATTACAGAATCATCATCAGACTTTTATAAGAGGACAACAAAGACATAAACAATATAGAGAGCATGTGTGAGTATGACTCACATTTATTTTTTTAATCTAAACTTGATAAATGGTTCCCTATTGAAAGATAATGAACATTTGCACTTGTTTGCACGGTGAGCTCATTTTAATCTACAAAAAATATTTTAAATGAATCAGGCATAAAAGGGTAAACAATATTTTCAGAAGTATTTCTTTCCTAAAAGTGAACTAAAAGAAAGTTCACAAGATGTTCAATCACTCCAAATATACAAAATAATTAGTTACACTGATTAAAGGCCATCTAAGGGAACTTTATGATGTTTTCCTGGATTACTCACAAAATACAATAACCTTTTCATTGATAAAATAATTACATTTTTTTAAAAGCCCTATAATACGATGAATATCTACAATGTGCTTTTTAAAATGAAGGACACACAACTGAATTTACAGCTAATGCAAGTTTTTTTTTTCAAACAAAGAAAAAACACTTTTGATACACACTCGCAGTGGCTCTTGGACAAATCTTTTATTTTATGAGAGGGATAAAAAAATAATTATACATGAGTTATAATGTTTAAACCAGTCTATTCAAAAGACAGCTACCTGAGGAGCTCTGTACATGTCATAAAGCAAACAACCGCAACCCATAAGTGTTCAGATCCTTCGAAGCGCTTTAATCCTCAAACTCTGCAGCATAGAGCACCTGCTGGAACTTCATCCGCACCTCCATTCTCTTTTTAATGGTAAGCCTCTTCAACGAAGGCAGGAGGCTGAGCAAAAACATTTCATCTTCATCTCTGAGGCTGCTGAGGGCATCTGCAGAGCTTATCTCAGTGTCTGTGGTTGTTGGCCTTTTGCGTTTCAGAGAGGACACAGCATCCTGATGGCTGCTGGGACAGGAGGTCACAACAGAGTAACTAGTGCTGACAACAGGCATGGGACTGGGGTGCACCTTCTCATCTTCATCTTGCTCATTTTCCTGACCACAAGCTCTTCCAGTTGCCTGTGAGGCATAAGAAGGAATGGATAACACAACCTACTCTTTACGTATGAAATATTCTTTAAAATACACAAAGAGGCAGTTCTGTATCAGTTATTAATCAATCTGTTCTTATCTGTTTATTCTGAATATAGTAGGTCAATCTAAGGACTGTGATCTTTTACAATGTTGGGATGTTTTAAGTTATGTATTTCTGAATGTTTACAAGTAAAATAATAATATATTTGAAGTTAGGGCTGTATTAATTTATTCCAATATTTAATCAAACCCTTTTTCTTACATGGAACGGCTACGGGGTAATTGTGGGCCGGAACGAAGGTCATGTTCATACATCTGTGAGTATCTACAATAACTTTACGTCAAAAGAGAAAAAACAATGGCTGGCTTTGAGATGCCCTTGTTATTAACCTGTTTTGACCGCCTTAATACAAATGTATTTAGAAGCAATTCAATCTTGTACTCAGTATTCTGCTTTCTGTGGTTTTTTAAGTAACTTTGTTTTGTTTTTGTCATTAACAAGAGTATTCCACACAACCTTTTCTATATAAGAAAATGTAAATTATCTCATAATAATTTAAACTATTGGAACGTTTTGTTGCATGTTTATTTATTTATTTATTTATTTATTTATTTATTTATTTATTTATTTGTTTGTTTGTTTGTTTGTTTGTTTGTTTGTTTTCTGTTTTGCCCCCCTACATTTGACTTATGGAAGCGAACGGCTTTTGTTCTGAAAAGCCCGGGCCGGATGTGGTTGTGGGCAGCTGGCGGTGAGGATGTGACTGAGTGTTTCCATGCCTCCAGCTGCTTCAGCTGGCGGGGTAAAGCTAAAAACGACCGAAGCGCAGACGTGGGTGTGGGGGCCGTGAGGGTGTCCGTGGCCTCGAGGCTGCGTTCCCGCGGCCCCGGTACGCCGACACGGTCAGACAAAAACGCGCGTTAAACGGACGGGGCAGGCGGAGCCACGCACCTCCTCGGACTCCCCCACGCCGCCCTCCGCCCGGGGCTTGACGTAGCGGCTGAGCCAGGCCAGCTGGCTGTACAGCACCGGGACGTGCCTCTCCACCGGGCCGTCGCCGTCGTCCGGCGGGGGGACGTTTCTCTTGGCCAGTCGCTTTTTCGCCTTGCAGAACTTGTCGCGCAGGTTCTTCCATTTCAGCTTCACTTCTTCCTCCGACTTCCCCATGGCGTCCGCTATCTCCCGCCACGACAGGTGGCCCCTCATGTTGTCCTTGTAGTCGCGGCGGGACTGGTCGTACAGGTTCGGGTGCTCGCGAATCAGCTCCGCCAGCCTCTTCTCCGCGGAGTTCATTCCGGCCACGGCGAAGTCCTTTCGTCCGCGGACAACGACCTCGGTTCTGTTTCCCCTTCGCAGACTCGAGCCATCAGAAGGAAGCGCCCGGCGCCCGGTGTTCAAAATAAAAGTTAGAATGTGTGTTTCCAGTCAGCTGCCGGAGAAAAGACCCACCTGTGGAAAAGTACACGGAAACTCACTCCATGTGTCACGGTTTTTATGTAAATGTATAAACGTATGATCTTCTATCTTATCACAGAAGAGCCGAAACAAAAATAAAAAAACATAACAGCCAAAACAAAAAGAAAAACATATGTATACTTTTATGTACATTTATTTCCCTATGTATCTCTGCTTTGCTAATGTATTACGGCCATATTTATGTCATCAGATAGACAGAACACACACTCGTGTTTATGTTTCCATGTCCTATAATATAAGTATTCACATGAATCACTATTCCTTAAAGATCACGAAAGCGACAGGGTCATTTCCCTAGTCCATAGACACCACCAGTGATGTGTCAGCACCCTTCTGTCCAGTGTTGTCCATGTCTTGGCTATGACCAAAGCCTGTGCCTGTCCACTGCCATCCGGGTGTGTTTTCCGTCTGTCTCCACTAGATGGCGCGTTCGTACCTTCCTGTCTCGGATCCCCTCTGTTTGGTCCTCTAGTGATGGTTCAGATAGTTTGGTACACCAAGGTCACATGAATGTGGGGATGTCTTTTATTGACTTGACATTAGAAGTCATTTGAAAACAGACTGGGAGGGAAATGAAGAGGGCACTCTCCGTGGTGTTCGGGGGATCAAAGAATTCTAGAATTTATTTTCTCCACTCTCTTTTTTGTTTGAGAATCTGTGCTACCGAAACTTCGCTGCGGTTTGCTGAAATCTAGTTCAAGTTCTAGTTATGGCACAAAGTTCATAATTAACATAATTGCTATCAGGAGGCGAATGGCTTTCTAAATGCATGTTTCGAAAAAACACAAAGAAATAGTCTTAAAACATGCAGCAGCTCATTACAATAAATCATTACAGAGGAATGTGCCTTTTATTCTACGAGTGAGACGCTTTCAAGAATGTCCCTTTCTGCAGCGACCACAGTTATGAAAGCAAACATATAAACACTTACAGGACTGAGCCCTTTTTTGTTTATATGTAGCTGTTTATACAGCGGTATGGAGGGGGGTGCGGGCATTTTTTTTTGTGAGACAACTTGATATTGAAAGAGCAGTTTGACAAAAAAAAAAGCATCCCTAAATCATTTTGAATGGTCAACAATTCAATACCTTGGAGGTTGCAGGGTTTGGGGCAGCTCAGTCCCCATATGGAGCATGAAAGATAACAGGGACTGCACAGATAATAACAGCAATCAGCAGGAGAGATGTCACCGCGCCTGCAGACCCCGCTGCTGTGACCACTGTGGCAGAGCTGTCTAGACTACCTACACGAGATCTCACAAGAGGTGGCAGCGTGTTATTACTGGGATTCACAAAGTCAAGACCCCTTCATTTAAATTGACACCAGTGATTATATGGACAGCACAATTGATAGTTACCAGTTTTATTAGATTTACCAGATAAACAGATGGATTTGCTGTTCTTGTTGACACAGAAACAACTCCAGACAAATCACTGCTGCCCCCAATCTTCTCAGTTTGTCTTTGTCAATATGCTGTTGGTTTTTGAGAGAATTTGGTGCTTTTCCTCTAAGGTTTTTTAAATGAAACCCCAAAAAGGATATACTGTTTATCAGTGTCATGTGATAACTGAACCGATCTCATATCAAAGCACTTTGCTGCAGTCTGCAAACTCCCTGCACCAACAGTCAGCCCACATTTTGTTGCCATGTGTACAATCTGTTACCTAGAGGGAGCCAAAGGGGCTTGAACACAAAGAAGGGCAGAAAACACTCTGAAAGCAGGTTGGAAGAGTTGCAAAACCTCCAGTGAAATTAGCAGTGGTAAAACCAACAATGCCGTTTTTTCATATACTCGTTATCCCAAATGTCATCATTTTGAAACTCAAATTTAATTTACAGCTCTATTTTTCTCCAGATAAAGATTAGTGGGCATTAATGGACAACAGTTCAGTAATCTGACTTCTGGCATAAAAAGACTCCAACTCAATCTGAATCTAACAGTACACATGTGGGTTATCTCTTTTGTGAGTCAACGCATGAACTAGCTGAACTTTTTAAGAAGGTTTCAAAGAATGTGAGCATCTTACGTGACAAATTATTTCATTAAGTGACACTGGAGAAACAACAATCCACAAGAGTCTAGAAGCACTGTGGTGCTGTTGGGGAGCGCTGCATTAGAAACAGACAAGAGTCTGCAATGAAACGTCCAGGCTGTACCCGCCTTTTGACTGAAGGCAGCTGGGATAGGGTCCAGCTCCCCCACCCACAATCCCGAATTGGATTAAGCGGGTATAGAAAATGGATGGCTGAATGGATGGATGATACAGCGATAGGAATGGTGGTACAGGCTCAGTACACTTTTGAAAACCATTGTCAGACCTTGCATCCCCTTTGGGGTTTTTTTTTTTTTCAAAACAAACCAAGCTGCAGAGGGTCCACATATATTTATTTGCTCAGTCAAGGCAGCAGAGAGACATTTTCACAATTAGGTGTAGCATCTTAGCATCTGGCCTCCAACAAGCTTCTTATAAAGCCCATTCTGCCACTGTTGGGGTTTCTTGTTCTTCAACATCTTGATGGGAATCATTGTGCCTCTCCCAGCCTGCCAGGCAATCCAGGAATTTGAACCACTGACCCTCTGGTCACAAGGTCACTTCTGCCAACATTTGGCTACTGTCCTCCACAAATGTTTATTTTCTGTACTCTGTGCTTGTCCTCAGTGACCTGCTGAAGTATCCTGTTGCTCAGTTAGCTGAAAGGTTTCCATAGAGTTTAAAATAAACTGTAACGAGTCTGTATTCACTAAGTCTGCCACGGTCCAGATAAAAATAAATGGGTTTTGTGCTCACGAGGCTGTGTGTCTGCTGTGTTATCTCTCCTACAGTGAGCAACTTAACATCCCAAATCCTCTGGACACACACTCTTTCTAAGCTCCGCACACATCCTCCCGCAGTGAGAGTGACATATTTATCTTCAGAGGAAAGGAGGAGGGAGCAGAGCGCAAGATACACCGCCTAAAAACAGGCTGCAGTCAGGTAGTCACAGATAAATCTGTAAGTGAGTGTCAGTGAACCAGCATGAGTCAGATGATATGGATCAGTATGAAGCCGGTATCTCTAAACGGGCGGTTTAATGGGACGAATCGGTAACCAGCACCACTCAGGTTGCCAAAGTGTTGTCAATGCCGCAGTTTTATCATCCAAGTCTAGACCTTGTAATCTCAATATCTGGTGAGAAGAGGAGACATTTTCCAACCAGAGTCATTCTCTGCCTGTTTGAGCTGCTGCTCTTTCCCACACCAGTAATAAGTGTCACCTCAGTAGGGGCTTTAACACCTGGGCTGGTGTTAAGGCAGAGTGGGGGGCCCGGGGTGGAGTGTGGGAAGTCCAGGGTTCACACCTCATTGACGATAGGAGATGATCCTGTAACTAACCTCCTAATACCTCATGCACACTCGCAGAATAAAGCAGGATACAGTCGGGATCGCTTGTTTTACGTCACTAATGACATTGTTTCATAGGAGCTCTTGAGATAGGAGAAATGATACAGGAATGTCAAAAGCGTTTCCTGTTATTTCCCAGATAAACAGAGTTGTAAGTGAGAACAGATTTTTTTTTCATGAAATTAAATTTTTTGGGGAATGCTCGGTATTTCCTTAAATACAGTAAAATCACACTTCAGGAGAAAAACAGCCCTGTGTCTAACAGGGTCATATCTCCTTTTTTTGCATCAGTTAAACATGGAATGTGACTTGTCTCCTTTTTTTGGGGATCATGGATCATGTGTAAAAATTAGCCATAAAGTGTTGTTAAATTTGTCTCCATATCTAATTGCTGCCCTACAAGGCTCGGGACTCACAGAGCTGTTATATTCTTTGTAACCAGTGTGTAATGGAGGAGGGTCCTATAAGACAGAAGCAATTCTGTTTCTGATGGGGGAGAAAATAATCAAAGATGGCACCAAGAATGCCCTGAGCAACACTAAACAAAAGCCTCGGTATAAAAACCGAACCATCACAATGAGCTTTGAGGGAAAGACCCACTGATCAGACTATTTATTCTAAAAAAAAGCAGAAGGACAAACAAGGCTAAACTCATCACAAATGGAAGTAATGTGGACACGATAATAAAGATCTGCCTGTTGTTGCCTGGATGCTTTGAATACACACAAACCCTCTTCTTCTTTGCAGATTCATGCTAAACGATCATTTGTTCCATTTGAAGCTTTGGTGAGAATCAATTTCATTCTATCCCTTTGTCCCTAACACATTTTGCCCATTTCTTACATCAAGTGAAAACGTATTTTTTTAATTTTATGTCTCTTTCCTTCGAGATGAAACATAAAGTAAAAATAATTAGTCAAGACACAAAAACAGATGAATTCCTTTCCAGGCTTCATTTGGGGTGTGAAAAATACCATCTTAATGTGAGTTTAGAAGAAAAATGAAGCCATTTCAAAGTCGCCAGCTTGGTGTGGACCACAAAGGTCAAATGCATGACAGTGCAAAGGCACAAAGGGAGGTGACTGTGTGTGTTTGTCAGTTCTATGCTAAAGGGAAGTGTCTGCGCTTATCAAAGAGCAGGATGAGCTGTCATGTACCTGCTGAGAAGCTATCAGCTTTTTAACTGAGCTGTTACTCCTCCACCACACAAACTCGGTGTGTGTGAGGTTATTTATGTGTGTGTGATGTGGAAAGCTATATCATCTAAATTTCTTGCATGTAAAAACGTCATCAATAAACTAAATGGAGTACACCACTCAGGTAAAACTGTACCATTAAATTGGATCTGGCCACTGTAGGGGTTATAAAACATTCTTTTAAACTGAACATGCTAAGTTTTAAAGAGCTGACCTGGCCGTTGCCCAATCACCAGCAAAGACACATTTTATTCTTTAGCAGGATCAAAGAGCATGTAGTCAAGGATTTACAGCCATAGCTGTGATTTAAACAGAGGAAGACGCCACGGTGCTGTGACACACTTTAAAACGTCAATTTACTGGGTCTTGTCCCACTTTTTTTCTCAGACTGAGATAACATTCCTCTTTCCTGTTCCCCTTCCTTTTTTAGACATTATTCGCGATACCGGATATTTTACATCGACACTTGTATGTATGTCCATGGAAAATATTTACAGTGGCTCTGAGGTATGTTA